TTTTTTTTGTTTTTCTGAGGTTTTTGTGTAATAACTCTTTTTAGAAAGTCTTAATAGACTATTCGAATGGCTTTTTACTGTTAATGTTATAGCCTTTTGTCTTCCTAAGAGGGAAACACTTGTTATATTATTCAAAATTTGGTTTATGCATCATCAGTGAGGACAACAGCTTATGAGATAAGCCAGTTGTGTTTGCTAAGTAGTGTTTAAAAAACGAGCAGGAGTGCTTTATTGGGAGATATAGACACTTGGCCATTACGTTTGTCCATAACCTGACAGTGGATCCATTGTTGGGGTACTTTTGCGTAGCATGTATTAACTTGCATCCTCGAAACACACATTAGAAAAACAAAAAGTTTTGGGAAACCTGTGTTTGCGCCAGCAGTCCTCTCAACCAGCGTCTCCGAGCGTTGTAATTTTCCAGTGTGGCCACTTTGGTTCTCATTACTGTTTGGCTTCTGTTTACCTTGACATAATTAGATGATCTTGTGTTGATAACAATATGGTACTAAGGATGTTTCTTTTGATATGGTATGTTTACTTTTTGAAATGCTTGTTGAAAAATAACCACAAATATCAACTCAAACACTGGCTTTTAATGCAAAAAAAACAACAAGAGAAAATCAGCATTTATACAGTATTAAACTTTGCTAAATGTATTTTCAAGATCACACAAGAAGTCATAAAAACTGACATGCAAATGAGCTTGACCGAAACACTCAACAATTACCAGTTAATGATTCTGTACAAATTATCTGATATGCAATGGAACAATTACCAACAATTATCAGTTAAGGGTGTACTGACGTATCCGTTTCTAGACGACCTGGTTGCTATGCCAACTGATGCTTGCCAATCGGAGAAGTGGGCGCGCGCACGTTTTCATGGCCGGAAAATTTTTACTTCGGTGGAAAGGTTTTTGTTTACATAAAATGTATGGTATCATTTAAAAAATATAATCTTCGGTGCGAAACATCAAATGGACATGTTTTTTCAATATTTATGTTCTTCACAGCCTCCTCTTCAGAACCAAGCATGGGTTTGGCAAAAAATTAAAAATACGAAAGTTATTGGCATTTTTCGCTTATTTGTTGTATTTAAAAAATCGTAAAAAGCTTATTTGGCAATCATTCTAAAAACGCATGCTTGGCTTTACGGACTTAGATCTAAAGATTAATTTCATCTATTTTAAATCATTTGATATACTTTGCTTGATGAAATTATAGCATTTTTTCGTATTAATGACGTCACACGATAAAATGACGTCATAGAATGTGTTATTTTTGTTTGGGAAGGCTTAATACTCAATACAAAATCGATTTTACTTTTGTTTGTCATTCTAGAGAACTACTGAATTTCCCTAGCAACGGATATGTCAGTACACCCTTAAGGATTCTGCACAAATTATCTGATATGCAATGGAAGACCTTCATGTAACTTAATATGGTTGGACTAAAACAATCAAGAATGCTTTCCTAAAATAAAATATAAACATGGAAATATATAACAGTTAACTGCTCTGTGAGACTAGAAGATTGTTAAAGCTGCTGCTACATGGAACAAAGTAATGGTTCTCTTTATGGTGCACTACAGATTTCTCTTAAATCATCTAAAAAATCGTCAAGCCCAAGTAGTCTAAAGGTATTAGAATATGCTCTTTCAGAGCTACAGTGGGGACATGATTTTTCAAAAACACTAGCTCCAGTGCCATACCACTGATCAATACACGTATTGCATCCTAAAATCCTTCCACAACACCTAGATGCTATAATTGGTGTCTTCATAGGAGCTGTTTTGCAAACTATGCATTCAAATGCCTCTTTTACAATATTTTTCAATRCAATTGGAACCTTGGTATCATTACTTATCGATAAYACCCTACTTATTTCAKATTTTATWTKACTTATTTCTCCCTTCATCTCTTGTAAGTCAGCTGCATTCTGAGTTTTTTGGTGCTTCCTTGACTTTCTTTCAACATCAGAGTCATCTGACTCATCTGAGCTATCTTTGACTTTACTTTTTCGCTTTGGTCTCTTTGGTATAGCAAAGACTTTTCTTGCTCCTTTCTTCCAGAATCCAATCCCTAATAAGAAAAAGGTTGTAATAAATTCTATACATCTTGTAATAATATGAGAACAACAACAAAAACAACTCTGTTTGTTTGATGTGCAATATAAAAACAACCAAAAATAAAAAAATATAAAAAGTCTATCTATGYAGTTCACACCCACCCTCCCCCCTCCCTTTACGACACATCTGAGACACATTTACGCGTCCAACTAGACAAACGTCTAGACAAAATCGTATCAAAATTTCGCAATGCGACAAACACGTTAATCAAACATTGTTCAAGCATCATAAACAACGCATTGACTTCTTTCTTAACTTTAATAACTTGATTAATAATATGTATTCTCACTTGTACTTTGAGTTGATTAACAAAAAACTTTCTTTCGAAAAAGTATTTTCTTTTGCCGTGAAGAAGGCTCGTGATCATAAGATCTATTTATACATTAAAGAATGCAGTCAGTTTTTCTGCACCGTAAAACATATTTTTCGCTCCCAAACTACGTGTGTCGTGTGTCATTGAGCGAGTCACCTTTATGGTATCCATGGCAGTACATGTAAGAATCAAACACCTATAATCCAAGGCGTCGAAAATTTTAGTTTTAATGAAGGACTTAAGCTTACCTCGTGTGCCAACCTCGTCAGTGTATTCGATCCCATTACTTCCAACTAAGTACAGGTCTTTTTCTTCTTTCATGCTACTGTTTACAAAGGCTGTAATGTATGTGGTATTCGCCTGGTCTTCTGAGTATAGAGGGACAAATGATTGTTGCGGCTTGTTAGTATTGGGCGACACTTTGCCATCTTTGAGCTCAGCCAAGACAACCTTTACTGTAGCTTTTGGCTTTCCAACTAATTGGCTTCCTGTGTTGTCTTTACCCCAGGGTTTCCAGTTTGTTATAGTGGAAAAAGAGTTAGTTGTAGTTGCAGTAACGTTGCCCGAGTTACTTTGTTCGTCTTCACCATACACTTCAAAACCACACTCTACAGTAAATCCAGACAAGTTGAATCTTCCGTTTTGATTAGGATATTCCACTCTGTTGCCGAACTCTTCTTTTAGGTATAATGAGTGGACCGAAAACTGCAAAACGAAGAAAGAATGGTTAAGCCTCGTGCCGAAATAGCTTTACTGAAGTGTGTATAAGCTTAACTGAAATTTCACTCATTGACATTAATAAATAATGCTTATACTTACGTTGAAATACTTTGCTAATCGTTCGGCCGTTACAGCTGATTTTCTCAGAATAATTTCTTTATTGCGAGCTATAAAAGTGTAGTTTGGATCTGCTTNGTTCCAAACACAAAATCCACAGGACTACCAAGATAAGTGATGGAGAGCTTGACGTTGCTATTTTTAATGCCGTATCGAAGGTTAGTCATGGTATCTTCATTTTGTCAATAATCTAAAGTATCTATAGTATTTTAAAAGTGCATGATTTTCGACAGGTTGGTCCGACATACGGAAGAAAAATGATAAAAGGGAAGCTAGAAGTGGAAAATATAAGAGTTCACGACAAACGGATTTCTGCATCTTTAGCAAGAGTAACACCGGGCTATCAGCAGCTTAGAAGGCAAAACACTGCAAGACAAGTCAATCCTTTACCCTATAATGCTCATTATTTTGGGCACAAAGTTCATTACGATCAAAATGAGAAGCTGGTGATGTATGGCTGTACCAGCGTGATGGCTGTAGATGGGTATAGCAACACCATTTTAGGAATTGCAACAATGCCAATAAAAAACAACCTAGAGATATACCGATGTCTTTATAGGTAAGTAATATTCTCCGACCTAAAATATCCTCAAGCTTTCCAAATGAATATATAAATCAACTGCTTTCTCTACAGGCCTATCACCATTCAGTATGGCCTTTGGGACCAATTACGAGTAGATTGTGGGAAAGAATTCTACTTGATACTTTATATTCAAGAAAACTTGGCTAACTTTCGGTACAACACATTGAGAGCACCATATATACAAACTACATCAACAATGGTGAGTTTAATTTATGTCCTAATTACTTTTTAAGAGGGTCCAGAAAGGGGAGGGGGAGGGGTGTGTTTGATCCCATTTTCCAGTCTTTTTTTTTTTCAAAATCCCATTCCCAGTTACATAATTGTTTTAATTTGAAAATCCCACAGTCACCATTCAATTAATTTTCAAAATAAGCATTTCTGAAAATGCTAATTTTGTGATCATTTTAGTTTTTGTACCACACAAGGCTTTTTCTAGTGGGAAGCTGTACTATAAATGAGTCATTTTTAAATATATAATTCTAGATTTTTTACATCCTATTTGTGATTAAATACAAATCCCACTCCCATTCAATGTTCTGGTTCCCATTCCAAGTAGGCAAAAATCCCAGTCTCAGTGCATCCAATCCCATTTTCCCAGCCAAAAATCAGGCAAAACCCAGTCCCATCTTACTCGTCTCCTTCAGGACCCTCTTATATAATTTATAATACTTTAGAGTAGGTCTGGAATGAGTGTGGTTATTAAGCTTAGGGKTCCTTACACTAACTATAAATCCCTCTAGTTGGTGCCTGAGTTTACCCTTACCCATAGAGTATACTGACTATATAGGCGATGTAGTATAATTTCTTAAACTCAATGTTATTTCTTTTATGTATAACCACTGAAAGCTTGTTTTGCCATATTTCAGAATCACATTGTTGAAAGGAAATGGGTGRAGATGAACAGTAGGGTTAATTATCCCATCAAAGCTCAACTCAACAAAATGGTTGAAGAGGAGTTGATTGATATGAGGAATGATATTGACAAGTTCTGTGTATCATGGATTACAATGCAAGTTGTTCAGGCTGGTGTGAAAGAATTAATTGCTTCATGGAACCATCACAGTATTCCAGGTAGTTATCTGATATTTGAAAATAAAAATTTATATGAATACCACATGAGCAAATTACTACACAGTCAGTTTTCATTTGTGAAATGGATGAAAAAAATCCCATAACAAAACTCTTGCATTTTTGT